GGTCCCAGGTCCCTTGGTGGGGCCGAGGGTCCCTCAACAGAGTTGGGGGTCCCCTGGGGGGATCCCAGGTCCCTCAGCAGGGTCAGGAGTCCCTCAGCAAGGTTGCGGGTCCCTCAGAGGGATTGAGTGTCCTTTGGGGGCAGTCTGGGGTCCTTTCAGGGGGTCTGGGGTCCCTTGGGGGGTCCTGGGTCTGTCAGCGGGGTCAAGGGTCCCTCAGCAGGGTTGGGGTTCCCTTGGGGGAGGTGGGAGACCCTCCACAGTGTCAGAGGTCCCTTGGGGGGGTCCCACATCCCTCAGCAGGGTTAGGGGTCCCCTGGGAGGGTTGGGGGTCCCTTTGGGGGTCCTGGGTCCCTTGGTAGGGTTGGGGGTCCGTCAGGGGATCCTACGTCCCTTAGCGGGATCAGGGGTCACTTGGTGGGGTCGGGGATCCATCGGGGGGGTGGGGAGTCCCTCAGGGGTCCCTCTCCCTCTTGACACGGACGTCCCCGGCCAAAATGGCGGCGATCTCACCCTGCATGAAGGCCCAGGGGAGGCCAGATCCAGCCAGGGGACATCGGCCCCCGCTGGGACAGTGCACCTCCCCACCAGCACCCCGTGCCCGGATGGCACGACGGGCACAGGGGAAACAGAACCGATGCGCCGGCACCGAGGGACACTGCACGAAATGGGTGTCCTCCAACCGTTGCTGGCACAAACCGCAACACAACGTTGGTGACGTCAAATCCTCTGCCAGGCGACGAACGCCAGGTGGTTCATCGGGTGAAGTTTCACCCGGCGGGTGCTGCCGGTGCAGTGGCGGTTCATCTGGTTCTGGTGAAGCTTTGCGACGTCGACGCGGCAGTGGCATTGGCGGAGGCAGCGGATACTGCTGTGGCAAGGCTTCGGGTGCTGGCGGGTGGCGGAAGAAGCGGACAGCTTCGGTGAAGAGTTCACCCAGAAGACGCCAATCTCCGCTGCCCTGCCGCTTCTCATATTCCAGGTACTTGTAGCCGGAGGAAATGGCTTTGCCAGGTGCCCGGAGGCAATCCTGGAACATCTGCTTTGCCAGGCCCAGCACACTGGCATAGACGCTGCCGGAACCGCAGGGGTATTCGGCAAAGAGCTTCAACTCGAACTCGAAGCCGGGCCGGGGCGCGGCATCGAAGGCGAAGACTCGTCCCACCAATGCGTGGTCCTTACGGAAGCGGACGTTGAAGGGAGCGCAGCCAGCGAGGGCAGCCAAGCGTTCCCGCACCGCCGGTGGCTTTCCTGGCCAGTCCTCAGCGCGACTGCGCATGGCTTCGCTCAACTCCGCCAAACACTCGACATCGCGTGGGCGGCACGGCACCGGCACTGATGGCCCGCGGTGCTCGGCCGTTGTTTCTTCGGGGCGATTTAGCCCTTCAGCCAGGCGCGGTATCGGCACGGTGTCACGGTGCCGGCTTTCAGCGTGGCTGTGCCGGAGGCGACGGGCGGCTTCCAACAACGGTTCGATACGGTCGGCGCCTTCGAAGTTGACACAGCCGCGGCAAACGGCCTCACTGAAGTCCCACACCACGGCCCAGGGCATTTTGGGTAGGTCGCACAGGTAACACCACTGCCGCCGCCACGACATGGCGGGGCCGCCGGGACCCTTTCCTCGGTCCTCCCGTAGGGCTCTATCTCAGCGGGTGCTCCTCGGGGGGGACCCCTGGGTAGGGCCCTCTGTGCA